TGATGTAGGTGTCTCCCACGCGGATGTTTTCAATGATGGGTACATTTAGACGGCGTTTAGGCATTTTGGAATGCCAAATACAGGAGAAGAAATGCTAAGTTTTGTTCTTCGTTGAAATGTAATAACAACGGATATTGCTTGTATTAATGCTCAAATGTAGAGATGTATCCCCAAACCCAGGCCCCCGATATAACAAAGGAGACTCAGACCTTTCTATGTTTAATAAAAGGGGCCTGCATTTCATACATCTAAATGCAAGATCAATTCTTCCGAAGCTTTCTGAATTAAAATTGCTTGTTCTGAAGACGAGAGCCGCCATAGTCTGTATAACTGAAACATGGCTAGATGAAACTGTGAGTAATAACGAAATAGCAATTGAAGGATTCACTGTTATACGCAACGACAAGAACAGAAACGGTGGGGTGTCTGTACCTTCATACAGGGAGACATTGCTTTCAAAGAGACAACTTAAACTGTGATGCCGTTGAAGGAATTTGGTGTGATTTATTACTTCCCAAAACAAAACCAATCCTTGTGGGAACAATCTACTGCCCACAGAGTCATGCTGAATTTGTTCGCCCCCTACAGGATACCCTTATGAAAATTCGCAATAGCACGGAGTTGGTCATCCTTGGTGATTTCAACATTGACATCAAAAACACCACCTCGAGTATCTACAAGCATTCTTTTGACATGTTGAAGCAATTTAGTCTTAAACAACTTATCAAAGATTTTACAAGAGAAACCGATACTACTTTTTCTACAATTGATCATATTCTGTGCAACAATCCAGATAAAATATGCCAGTCTGAAGTTATACAAATTGGCATTATAGCGACCATTTTGCTATTTTTTGCACTCGAAAGATCACAAAGAGTCCAGTATCAGAACCAAAGGTGATTAAAATAAGAAGCCTAAAATATTATGACGTAGACGCATTTGTGGACGCGCTATTCAATGTTGACTGGTCAATAAACCAGACAGATGTGAATATTCCATGGAACAACTTTAAAACAACTTTTTTTATCAGTTCTGGACAAAGTTGCACCGATTAAATAGGTTCGTGTGAAACAGTGCACAGAGAAATGGATGACACCGGAGATATTGAGTAAAATTCACGAAAAGGATCAGGTACTATGCAAGTTTAATAAAGACCGTCAAAATGAAGATCTCTATAAACGATACTGTAAATTAAGAAATGAAATTCAAGAAGACATTAAGAAGGCCAAAACGCAATTTATTATGAACAAACTTGAAGAAAACAAATCAAATCTGAGAGTGTTGTGGCAACAACTCAAAGGTCTAGGCTATAGTAAGAAACCTAATGGAAAATCAAATGTATCTTTAGACATAGATGGCCAGGTTTCTTCCGATCCTTCTAAGATTGCAAATCACTTCAACAAATTCTTTTCCAATATTGCATCCTTTCTAGTCAACAAACTTCCAAATCCTTGTAAGATTTATACACCAGAATCTGAAAAATTTTATGAATTTTACCGTCATAAAGTAACTGAAGCTGGTTGTTTTAATCTGGAAGTTATTTGTTGAATCGCAACTTAAATGTCTAAATATTTCAAAAGCTACCGGACTTGATAATATTCCAGCTAGATTTTTAAGAGATGCTGCTACAGTTTTGAAAGTGCCAATTACTAAAATCATAAACATTTCAATTACTAGCAATACGGTACCAGATGATTTTAAGCTGGCTAAAGTTAGACCGTTATATAAGAAAAGTAAACGTACAGATGTTAATAATTATAGACCTGTAAGCATTTTATCTGTTGTATCTAAAATCCTAGAAAGAGCCATACATCAACAACTGACGGAGTACCTTAGACAAAACCACAACTTTTTATACGAGTTACAGTCTGGCTTTAGAGAATCTCATTCCACAGACACGTGCCTTATTCAAATGTCGCAAGGCTTATATTCCGGTATGGTACTACTAGATCTCGAAAAAGCGTTCGATACTGTAAATCATGACATTCTGTTAAATAAGCTAAAATGCATTGGTGTTGATTCCGCTGATTGGTTTAAACAGGCAGAAGTGCTGAATCAAAAATCACGTAAAATCTTAGCATCTGCACTTATTCAATGTTTATTTGATTACTCTGCAATGCAAGCCTAACGAAGAATTTAAAACATATACTTCAAACTTCACAAAACAAGATGATAAGGTTTATAACGAATAAGGGCCCTCGTAGTCATGTTTGTCAATTTGAACTATCAGAACTCGGATTTTTAAAAGTAGATGATTGTGTTAAATTTCTCCGTCTTTGTCGCGTTTTAAAAATATTTAATGATATTAGTCCTGTGTATACGAGTGAAAATTTTTCTAGAATATCAATGAGTCATAATCAAAATACCCGAGGTAGTTCCTTAAATTTCCGAATTCCAATTATAAAAGGTGTTGCTTCTTCTACGTTTTATTACAATTCTATTAAAGATTGGAATTCCCTGCCAAAGGAAATAAAGTATTAACAAGCATGTCAACTTTCAAGATCAAAACTAAATGTTATCTCGCAAACCAAACTGAAATGTTGTAATACATTTAGGCCTGTTTTTAATGCAAAATGTAAATACTAATATAGTTTTAATAAAGCTTTTCTGCTTTTTAAAATAACCTATTACATTTTCACTTTTTTTTATTATGTTTTACAGGTATTTTGATTCTTAAGATTTTTTACTTTTTTACATTGTTTTA